AAAGGTCGCTATGGTGGCGAGGGTGCCCTTGGGCACACTGTGGCCGCGGGCAGGAGATGTGCTGGGTGGGCTTTCCCCTGTCCGCAGAAAGCCCCGTTTGGCCTCCAGCGGTGCACTCTTGGAGTACGCACACACGTGGGTTTCTGTTGCCACCCCATAAATCTCGATTTGCCCGATTGATCTTTGCACAGCAAACAGTAACGTTCAGAAGCACATACACATCTTAAAAAATCACTTCCAAAGGCTGTGAGGTATTGCCAGGTGAGTCCCTGAGAAGAATGTGCTGCTGAGCGGGGATCCCTGGCCAGCCCCAGAGCGATGTGTGCACCAGCCAGTGCCTCAGCCTCCTGCAAACTGGCCGTGTGGCTGCATGGCTTCAAACTGGGAGCTAGCTACAAGTTTTGCTGAAAATACTTAGCAATTCTTTTGTAAACATGGCATCAGTGGCTTTATCTGCAGGTATCAATAAAAAGCAGTGAACAGTTTTTCAGTCTTCTGATGCAGATCTAAAATATCTGTTGAGTGCTCTGTACTCTGATCCTTGAGTCTGCTTCAATTGAGGAGACTTTAGGAGGGGCCTCAGAAGGGTAGCTAATAGTAACATCTGCTAAAATGTTGCTGGTATTTATGCTTTCACTACTGTAGTCTTGTGGTTGCACTTCAGGACTTCAGCCAGCGTAAATTTCTGTTGTGCCAGGCAGAGTATTTGTGCCATGGTACAAAGTGTAGTACAGATTGTGTCTTCACTGCCTTGGGGAGGAAGAAAACATTGTGGGGAGCATGAGGGCAAAAGGTCACTTGATTGTGATTTTCCAATAGTTGTATGTCTTTTACTGGACTAGGTCAGAACATATCTTGAGAATGATCCGGCCTGAGGGGAGGAAGGGGTGTAAATTAGCACAGATCATTGGGGAAAATGAGGATCGAGGATCGTGGCTGACAGATGAGGAGTTATGAAGGGTTTAACTAGGTTGACCTCTTTTATACATGTGTGTGATTGAAATGTTTAATTTTGGTGATTCTTTCTCACTACAGCATTCATTATTTACAACTTTGCTGTTACTGCAGGCAGACCCTCAAGCACAGTGCTTGTTGGTGATGATGGGGCTAGCATACCACAGGCTTGGCACTACAGTTCATCATTTTTTGGAGTGCTTGCTCCATGCTTACACTGTTCAAAAGACACACACAGTCATGGGCTTGTGTGAATTCTCCTCTCTTTAATTTCCTCCAAATCAGAAAGCTCTGAAGTTAGTTTCAGCTGCATGCCTTGGGAGCATTGCTGGAGTCTCTTTAGGGAGGAGAGGTGAGTGCTGTCCCTGTTTCACAGGAGAGCAAACTGAGTATCTGTGAGCTCTCTGCAGTGAAAGAACACATCATTTTTATAGGCAGGGGCAGAACCTCTGACCCTGATTTTGTAAGCTACTGCATGCATCCTCATAAGACTGTATGTAAAAAACCCACGCTCTGGAGAAGGACCCTTTCCTCTGTTTCTGTTTTGTTCAGGCCAAATCACAGCACATCTTGCACCGTGTCTGTTAAAGGCTGGTGAATTCCTGAGTGCTTGGACTCTTCAGTAACTGTAACCTTTTTCTTTGTAGCTCCGGCCAGTCGAACCCAACCTTTTATCTTCAGAAGGAGGGGCATGCTTACGTGCTCAGGAAGAAGCCCCACGGCCCCCTCCTGGCCGGGGCTCACAGGGTGAGTCGTCCTGCAGCCAGCTCCACACGCCCAGCGCGGGGGTGGGGGGGTGCCCAGCAGCGGGAGGAGCTGCGGGATCCTGCACGGGCCGTGCCATAGCTGAGCCCCCGAGAGGAGGAGCTGTGAGTCTCACGTTTGGAAGCCTCTCACTGAGCCTGCGTTTCTGTGTCTGCCTCAGGTCGACAGGGAATATCGTGTGCAGAAGGCCCTGTTTGCAGCGGGGTTCCCAGTGCCTGAGCCCCTCTTGTACTGCGGTGACGCTTCTGTCATCGGGACAGAGTTCTATGTAATGCAGCACGTGCAGGTGGGGCCTTCACTGAGAGACATTTTTGTCTCCTCTTTACTACAAGCTGCTTTTAAATTGTCTAAAGCCTTTCTGATAGAGCCTAATCCAGCAGTTACTAAGTTTTGTGATGTAATTGCAAATAATCTCTGATATTTTTAAGAAATGCTAGTTGTCAGGGGTTCTCACTGACCTCACCTCCTCCAGCTCCCACCCATTCCCCTCCTTGCCCTGCCTCTTCCCCCCTGACACCACCCAAGGTCTTAATTAATATTTTTTCTGGAAGTTAGCTGTTACAGACAGGCACTTTTGTGTTCCTGGTACTTTCCAGTTTGAGGATGTCTGGACTGAGTGCTCTAACACAGACTTTCAGCTGCTGACTCTGTTAAGTGCCTTCCAGTAGCTCTCCAGCTACTTCAGCTCTCTGTTGATCTGAGATTACTGTCAGTGTCCTCATCTCTCCTGGGCAAGGAGCAAAATAAAGGAGGAAGGGGGTTTTGATTGCATGGGGTGTGTTTGTTCACTGTGTTTATTCTGGCTGCCAAAACCTGCAGCTTTTTTCCCAGAACTCCTCACCAAAGGGCTGGTTTGTGGTGTCTGCAGGGCCGCATCTTCCGGGACGCCTCGCTGCCCGGCGTGGGCCCGGCCGAGCGCTCCGCCCTGAGCGTCGCTGTGATGGAGACACTGGCCCTGCTCCACTCCTTTGGCCTACAGTCACTGGGCCTGCAGGGCTATGGCAGAGGCCCAGGGTACTGCAGGAGACAGGTACAGCTCTTCAAAAAATTCTCGTGTTTCGTTGTGTTTTGGAAGATTTGTGAGATAAATTGTTTATGATTGTTTAATAGCTAAAATACGATGGTTACTTTTACACCTTGGCTTAGTTCAGGTTTTTGTGCACAGTATAAAGTGTCCCCTACACTGAGATTGGCTCTGTAGTGATATCCTCGGGGAATGATGCTTGTTCCCTTGTGGAATCAGACTGGGTTTGGACAGTGCAGACAGGGTTGAAACAGGAAATGGAGGTGGGCTTCAGCACACCCTTTGGTCTCGCAGGTCACGTTTGCAAATAGAAAGGCACAGGGGTTTACTGAAGTTTCAGCTAACCTGGTAACAGTCAAAGCCCAGAAGCATGTGCTTCAGAATGTGGTGCCTTCGACAAACTTGTGGATCAGTTGGGAAACATGTTGAAGTGTTGTATCTCCTCAGGTATCCACCTGGAAAAGACAGTATGAGGCAGCTGCTCACGCTGACATTCCTGCCATGAACAAGCTGGCTGAGTGGTTAGCAGATAACCTGCCACCTGGAGATGATGAAGAAAGCCTGACCCATGGGGACTTCAGAATAGACAACATCATCTTCCACCCAACAGAGGTATCTCAGACAGATCTGTACAGGCTTAGTGAGGTTGTAGTTGTAGTCCTGCCATGTAACGGGACACTGACATGGGTGGTGTAGTACATGATACACCTTGGAAAAGAGCAGCAGAGAGCTTGCTTCTTTTCTGTGCTCCGTGCGTGGGATGTGGGTGTCTGGTGCTAACACAGAGCCAGTGTTCATTGCAGGAGCTCATGACTCCATTCATTCATTAGCTCTAGTCCAGTGTAGAATTTTAAACAGATTTTCACTGGAAGAGTGCCTGGTTGTCTGCCAGTAGGTGAATGTTGATTTCCTGCAGATGCTTATCCCATGCCAAAAGGAACTTAACATTCCAAAATTAAGGTGCCAAAAACCTGTGCCTGGTTTTACCGTAAACAGGCGCAGCACCTGTTTTTAGTTTTAAACACACAGCAACCAAAGAAAGCTGTTGGGTAATTAAGGAGGGTGTGGGTGGAGAGTATTTACCTTCTAGGATTCATGTGAGGATTTTGTTTTTATTTAAGGCTCGTGTTCTGGCAGTGCTGGACTGGGAACTTTCAACTGTGGGCCATCCGATGGCAGATCTGGCCTATGCCACCCTCTTCCACTTCTGGCCACCAGCCACTAAAGCCTTAGGTCAAGGATCTGCCTTGGCTCTCAAAGACACTGTAGGTATGAAACTGCAGTATTTTAACTGATGTGAATTTTAGGGTTGATTTATGTTTGATACGTTATGTTTTATAGACAATAAAGTTAAATTAATGAGCACGTAGTTTTGCACTTAAAAAGATATTTTCCACAGCTTTGTTCCTTGTAGGAAACGTGCCAATGGTGAGGTTGAAGGTAGTCCTGTTTTCACAGGCCTGTGTCTCAGCCACAGTGTGCTACTTTGGTAAAAGCTTATTTTGAACCTTTCCTGGAGATAAGAGCAGAAAACTGAAATTTAAATACAGATTTGTCATTTATACTCAAAACCCAAAGCTCCCCTGCCCGGGGGTGGATTGGGTTTCCTGAGCAGAGGGGAGGTGAGGCCCCATGGGAGGTTGTGTCTCTGCAGGTAGGACACTCCCATTGCCTTCGGGCTCTCCGTGTCACACTGGTCATGAGAAGTGACACATCAGGATTGTTCCTGGGTAGATGGAATATCTCACAGAGCTGAAAAGCTGTGCAAACGTGTGAAGAATAAGGTGGGAAAAAAAGTCACAGAAAATGTTGAGCGTTCTAAAATACTCTGTTGTTTTGTTGTTTTTTTCAGAAAGTCCTTCATTTGAAGAGCTGGTTTCCATCTACTGCCGCTGCCGGGGTATTAGCACTGCTTTACCCAACTTCAACTTTTTCCTTGCTTTATCATATTTTAAATTGGCAGCAATAGCCCAGGTAATACACTCTCATTTGCTGAAGTGTCACATATTTTTACTATGAGTGTTAGTAATGCTTGTTCAAATCTTAATAATTTTAAAAACAACCAGACCCACTGCCTGTCATTTTGTTCCTTCAGAAGCTTTATCTCAGGTGCTTATCACTGGTAGGACTCCAGGACAGAATTTTTGTCACACAAAGTACGTTAGTAACTTCTTAGGGAAGCAGGCTAAGACCAAAGAAAACACAGATGTGTGGATTTTTCTCACTCATGTTCTAGTCTGGGGGTGATTTTGTTGTTCTCTTTTTGCACTCTGGCTATTTTAAGTCCTGTAGTACTGAGAAAGAGAGGTCTTTCTAAGTTCATGCAGCTCTCGTGGAAGCAGGTAGCAGGATGGATGAGTAAGATTCTGTTGGTGCCACCCACAGGTGAGAACTCAGCCTATTTTAAATCCTGTAGTACTGAGAAAGAGAGATCTTTCTAAGTTCATGCAAGGTGGAAGCAGGTAGCAGGATGGATGAGTAAGATTCTGTTGGTGCCACCCACAGGTGAGAACTCAGCATAGGAAGCCAACCTTGAGGTGTGACTATAGGGGAAAACAAGTTTCTTTGACAGATTGTTCAGTAAAGTAACTGTTTAATTTGGTATTCAGCCCTTGTAGGGCACAAGTGTAGGCTGAGTTGCAGCCCCAGATCAGCATACCATGTGTGGGATAAGCCACCAGCTGTTAGTTTGGGGGAGGAGTGTGTGTGTGGGTAGTTAATTCAGTCTGGCTGTAATTGGTGTGCACACTGCTGTCAGCTGGGCTTGCTTGCACTGCCATGTGCTCACTCTGCTTTTTTCTTTTTTTTTCTTTCTACTACTTCTTGTAGTAGTTCTTGTTTAGCTGGGATAAGTTGTTTTTTTTTTTTCCTCTTGTGCTCCAGGCACCTTCATTGTATCACAAACAGGCCAAACCCAATGCTAACATACCCTAGTAAAATCTGTATGGGCGGTGATTCTTTCCTTTTAAGCATATGTCCATTTTAGTGTTACTTTCATAGTTGAGGAAATCACCAATCTACTACAGAGATGATTTTCAGTGCATGATGATACCATGGGTGCCTTTCTTTGGTTTCAGGGGGTATATGCCAGATACCTCCTTGGAAATGCTGCTGCAGAGAATAGTCACGAATTCGCTAAGATGGTGAAGCCTCTGGCCCAGAGAGGGTTGGAGCTCTCACAGAGGTAAGAGTGGTCTACACTACTGGTCAAAGGCAAGGCAAAGCTTTGACAGCATCTTCACTTATTTAAGTGCCTGTATAAGGCAGGCACTATGATGGGGGAAAATCTGGTCTTGGTTGTTATTGCATTGGATGTTCTTCTCCAGGTCATCTTTCAGCAGCACACATCCCAGTGCTTCTGGAGAGCTATTCTGTCAGAGCAGGAGAGGCCAGGAAATGTTGCTGAAGGTCAAGGAGTTCATGAAGCAGCATGTATATCCTGCTGAGAAGGTAAAAGCTGTTAGGAAACCTATTTATAAAAGAACAGCTACTTGTATCAGCAGCAAGCACTGACCTTCTGCCATCTTCATCACATGTATTGAACCACCCCAAATCATTTCCCTCTATGAAACAAGATACTGATTGGGGCCATCTCCAAGATGCATTTAAAGTCTTACAAATAAGGGAATGTAGTTTGATTTTGCAATTATCTTTTTTT